ATTTATAGATTAATTTTTATATTATATTATATAAATAGAATCCATTTATGGACTCTGACAACTGATAATGAACAACAGATGCTGTGGTTTAATCAATAACAAGGCATTCTGATAATGACAAGACATTCAAGCTGGCAAAAACTGATGTTGATCTGTATGATCACGATCCTCATTCTCCTCGTTTGTCAATCTTTGGTATTGATGATAAGGCAGACGAAATAGAGGCTACAGATATTTTAACATCTTTAGATCACTATTGGATTCAATAAAGTATATCCAATAAGTAGACATTGAGAGTGAGTGTACCACTACTGTAACAAAACATTCTCCCTTGTGGTATGATGAAATTACCAAACAATTCAATATACATTTTCACAATATATTTTTTTTAAACCAGCATATTTATGTGAAAGATATTATAATTCTCGAAATATTCTTAAACAATAACATAGAGTAATAATATTGTTAAAAGATTAATAAACACAAATAATGTAATATTTATTTATAGTGAAAATGTGACATGAACACTATCTACCATTAGTCAGGATATGCATATTGATATAAAAATGTCATGGTACTATGATTATCAATTGTATCCTGAATAAATAAGATGATCACAACACATGATATTAGGTTTAAATAATAAAAGCCTTTCAATCAAAACTAATAGTTCCGCCTTAATCATTTATGATAAAATATGCCATTTTAAAACGAAATCACATATGTGACTATATATAGCACGAACCATCATAGTATTGAGCTATATGTATACTAGAATTGTACTCTACGTGTGACAATCAATGACTTTGTGAATAAGTCAGAAGACTTTATTTTACAATACAATTTCCATGCTATAGACGGGTATGATGTGCTCTCTCTAATAGTGCACTCTTGTTTAAGAGATTCCGATGTAAGAACATGGGGCTAACCGCTAATTTCTTATGCAATACACTGTGCCCTCTGTAAAGCATTTTGTGAAAAAAGTGAAAAAATGAAGCACTAAGAGCTTACTTGCAACACAGACAGAAAATCATACAAGTTACCTTCTGAAGCATATAAAGCAATTGACATAGGTTAGAAGTCAAACGCATGATTAATCCGTATGATCTATTTATTTATTCAAGTCAATGCTAAGTCGTTAGCCCTTTATCAGAAAACTAATGGCAGGTAGAAACAATGATTATTTAAACCACATAGAATATTATCACTCTGATACACTGTAAATATGATGTTACCAATGTCGTGGAGCATCTTTTATAGCGTTTCCAGTAGCAATACCGACCCGTTTTATACCTCTGATATAGTATATAACACTTAATCTTGTATACAACAGCCCCCTATTCATATAAATTACATATGTGTACATAATCGATGTGTCAGTGGTACATCTAATGCACCCATCACAAAATGGCGTTGCCGTACTACAGGTATAACATATTTTTAAAAATGTGAGTGTATTTATGACTTATAAGTTATTTACAAATATTGATAATTATATAACATTAATAATTATATATTTCGTTTTGCACTCATTACATTAAAATGCTGTTTTGTTAATCTCCTCATTGTCGTACATACATGCCTGATTTGTCTGTGTATACTGTGACAAACATCTATCCTTGTTTAACTTTTGTTCGCCATCTTGGTTGTCTCGGTTACGAATCACTTGTTTAACAATGGTGTAGACTTCAGTTATGATCGGTACACTGATGATGAAGACAGCACCAATCCACGCCCAGCCTTGGGACACACCGACCCAGATGTTGAATTCGGTGGCATTCATGACGTTGACAGCGATCATAGAGGCAGGCCATATGATTATAAGGATCACTGTCAGAAGTACAGCGCTAACTATCGCTGCAATCTTGGCAACCTTGAACGTTTTCTCCACTAGTTTCAACTCAGGTCGGTTAGACAAACGCGTAGAATCGTGATGCCCGATTTCGCTGAAATAAATTTAACCACGATGAATTCAAATAAGTGATTGTGATGTGACTGAAGAAATAATTTCCATAAAATGAGTGAAAATTTAGACGTTATACAAAAATAGCATTCATTAAAATGTTATATTAGTGCTTTAGTCACTTATGTTTATTCAAATAAACCCATCACGCTATACATAATAATATTATACATTTGTCACTGCAACGTTACAGCGTGCCTTAATTTTGCGGTATTGCACTGGATATTTTCATATTCTAGGAAATGTGAGTTCCAAATATGGAACAATTACGTGGCGGTCTCAGGGTTTGACCAGACCCCACACAAACAAGTTCGCGAAATCTGTTCTAAACTTTCTTGATTTCGGCATTCCCATGATGTATCTTTGTGGGTAAAAGATGTATAATAATTAGTAATTACGAGGATACCGCGATACTTTTCGGTATCCTCGTAATAAATTCATAGACTAGAACTAGACATACACTTGAACTGTACAGCACTCAGTAGAAATGCCAATACATTAATTGAATATTCATATCAAAACTGAGAGACACAGTATAGGACATATACACACATATACTGTTACTCTGATTATATACCTAAACAGTTTTGTATAACGTATAAACATGAGTGCCTAGTCAGGGGCAACGGCTTGTAGTTATATTGTAAACATACATTCACAAACATACTGAGACCTTGATCCTAAACTTGAATTTAATTCAGGATCACATAGTGAATATGTATGCCGAGATTGAATGCAATGGCCATGTTCCAATTGTACAAAATATATAAGCTTATGTCCACGACCTTTGACACAAACTTGTAACAAGGTCATGTGAGTCGTACAGGAAACTCGTGTACCAAGATTGACATTTTAGCCATTCCCTTCTTGTAGTTCAATACTGAGCTCACACAAAGCATATTCAGTGGCCCCCTCGAAAGAAATGTTAGGGGGCGTCGCCCCTATGAAATCGAGCTGAAACCCTTTGTGTCAGCAAAATTTGCCCCTCTAAATGCAGGAAATAGCGTTTCAGAGGGTCTAGATTTCACAATTTGTAAGGGGGAGCATGCTCCGGACCCCCTAGTGAGCAGATCACGCCATCCCCCTCCGCCCCGTACAAAATATCGTTCTACCGCATCTTATAATGTGCCATTGACCTTTGTCCCAAAAAATATACTCAGGTTTTGTGAATAGCATGTGTCAAGTTTGAAGGCTCTAACTATCCCCACTTGCAGTTATATAAACAAATTCATACAATAACTTTGAACATCGACTCCAAAATATAGCAAGGTCTTTTTTTGTGTAACTTTGAAGATCATGGCTATTTTACCATGTAGTACGAAAAGAAAACATACACACAGACAAACTATTAAAGGTATTCATACCTGGCATATCGGTCAGCCCAGGGAAGCAGGGGGTTATCAATGTCACGTGTCTTCTCCCATTCTTCTTCCTTTTGCTCATCAGTCATGTGATGGTTGGTGGCAAGGGACACAGCAACAGTTAGAATAGCGCCTGTCAGTATTGCGACAATGTTACCATTCAACATACTGAGTTCCTGTCCTAAGGGTTTAAACAACACAAGAACATTAATAGATATTACACATTATTATTTTAATGAACAATAAACGAGTTTGGCAGATTATGCATCATAAAACAATGAGATGAAGTCCTCGAGAGATTGTTGCATGATCTACCAAATGAGTCCAATAACTGAATCAACCATCTGTTTGCATTCATGATTCGAGCTGTATTTGTATGATTGCCAACATGGCTGGGCATGGATGCACAAATACGAGATGGTGGTTATAAATTTGTTTTCTCAATTTTCGACGTCCCTTTTGTCTGGTACTGTCGGTCTCAAAATTATCAGTTTAACTGACATATCAACTTTTGCTTGCACAACTAAATGACTTTGAAGCCGCGAAATTATGAATCACGGCGACAATATGAGTTTCCTGCACTACTGTTTTCTATCCATCACTGGTTTAGATCTACAATGACAACCACGGCAAAGAAACATTAAGGTTAATTAAATTCAACCTCGGGAATTGGGTCAGTTGAACTATCCGGAAAAGTTACAATTTTATTCGATTTCTAAATGTATGATATATAGATTTTCGTGTAACTTTTTGTATGTTAATTCTACGATTCCTTTTCTTCCCAAAGAATGAGTAACGGCTTATAATTCACTTCAAATCAAAGGTACGATAACTATTTATAGATGTCTTGTAACATGAGTGTGTGCACCTGAAGAGTAGACAAAACGATTTAGAGAACAATCTTCTTTCATGCTTAAATTATGACATTGATTAACAATGAATTGAATTAGTACACTTCAGCGTTCTTTTACCTGTATTTGCTAGAAACACACCAGAACGTAATCCACCATCAAATGTCGATGCTGTAACTAACCATGCAGTTAGACCACACAGCGTGCCCCCAACTGTACCTATAACTGCAGCTTTACCATTCAACCTTGTCCAGAAAACGGTCAGCGCTATCGGTACCACACTAGATCCTATAACCACACCCATGAATAGATACACCCAACCAAGGCTAACCTAAGGGATATAATAATCATTTATAAGAAGGGATAGTTAACAATATAATAACTTTGCAATTAAAAATAACCGCTCTTCTATGTCATGTTACTTAGACCAGACTGAAAGAAAATGAGTTTGTATTGCACGCGTGTATGATAGGTGTAGTGTATCCCTGGTTCGTTACTGGTTGACAATTTCATGTTATGATGCATTCTCAAAATGATATTAAATATATTTGATTAATATTTATACTTGCTGGAAAGGCAGATTTTAAGCTAGTCTATGAATACATACAGATAATTTTCTTTAGTATTTGTGATTGTGATAGTATTTATTTACCATGTGCTCAATTATTAATTTAATTATCTTGTATTTTAATAACTTCTGAATAAATTGTCTACCGAATGAAACTCTGCATACTCGAATCAATTGCAGGGATGAATACATTTGAACTTTAGAAATAATTCTAAAATTGAGTAAATGAATGAGTAAATTGGATAGAGCTAATAACTTTATTATTTATATAATACTTGTGTATTTCCTGAAACCACGTCAACGACTATTTGTATATTACATCGTATTTGAATTATGGCGATCAAATTTGCATATTGTGTTAGAATTTTACAATAGATTCCAACAGAAGCAAGACCCTAAGTTTATGAACACTGACATTTTATCTATCCAATCTATTGCTATGCTTTGTTCACGATAAGTGTTTTCTACAAGTCTCCCGCTCTCAGATGTTTTCTTGAATCCTGTGTTTGTGGTAGAATTACTCTGTCTCCTTGGCTGCGACGTTACCTTTACTGGAAACACTCAAATATGTCGGCCTTGTTGGTGACTTCTCTATTTCTATCTCATTTATAATTTTGCATTTACAAATTATTCATTGTAACTAAATATGTAATGCATTCAATGTTTTAAATCCCCTATATCATACTCTCGTAGGTTGCATTTGATTATCATACTTTTAAATCTTCAAATGTCGTTTGTTCTACGTAATTTATTGATCGTTAACCATTTAAAATCCTCGTGGTGCCATGTAAATGAAGGTCTCATTTATCTGTCAAATGACTAAATCAGTTATTTGTTTTGAGAGTTGAAAAATTAAGACATTCAAATAAACCAGTGCAAGTCGAGATAAGTGAACCTAAACTTACACAGTACAAACCGTATGGTTCATATTTATATTTTGTATCACCCCTAAAAAAGATTATATTTCTTTTTAAACAACATCCTAGTTATATTTGCATACAGATCCCAACCTCAGAATCCAAACTTAAAAACACTGAATCTATTTTAATTTCCAGTAAGTACCGGTGATGAATTGATTTACTAACCTGTGCGGCTTGTAGGAGCAGAGTCAAGGGTATAATGAGGATAGCTACCCAAAATATACACCAGTTCTTCTTTCCGATCAACACTTCTAGATACGTTCTATATGGACCGTGCATAGGACATTTAAATGTGGGTAGGACTGCTGCCTTTGAACTAGCACGATCACTGAAAATCACGTACAAACTTTGTATAAGAATTTACGGATATGTAATCAGACTTTGGATATGGTTTGTGAATAATACATTAGTGAAATTACACAGTACGTGCACTGTACCGTACAGTGTGATGTGGTGCTGTGCGATAGGATATGATGCAGTAGGTGTGGTTAGGTGCGTGTGGTGCATGATGCAATAATCTTTTGTCATGCATATTCATACTTGTAGATGCATACCTGTCATCTATCCAACATCTTTTGCACTGAGACATACTGTAACATTCACACTGATTATCTATATTATCTGCTCGGTCACGATGCTTTCCACATAGTAAACAACTCCTTGTGTCATCCACTGCCCGGTATGGTCTCCAGTGTATCTGATAAAGGTCGTATACCAAGATTGAAGCCACTGCAATAACTTCTGCAGACCCCGTCGACGTCACAGCCATCAAAATCATCAATGTCATCAATATAGCGCCAACTTTTCCCATGAGTGTATATGCCACAGTTGGAGGTACAAGCCCTAGTGAGTAAAGTAAAACATAACGACACATTCATCATATAGTATTGTCAGCATAATCAGGAAATGGATAAATGAGACTAGGAATCTAGGAATTAGAACAGGGAATAATCGAGTAATGAAAAGAGGGAATTAACCGTGCAATGTGAATGGGGAAATAATCGGTAATGGAAATACGGATTAATATAATAATGAGAATAGAGAAATCATTTTGCACTGAGAAATAAAGAATAATAGGGCGAAATAGGAAGAAATGGAATAAAGGAATACTCGGGTAATGAGAGTAGAGGATAATCAAGCAATAATTATAGGACAGTAATAGGGTAATGCGAATAGTGGAAAATCGAGCAATGAGAAGATGGCAATAATAGGGTGATGTGTTTTCTCACCTTCATTTATTTCACGCTCGGTCAATAGTTCTTCTCCGTTTGCTGTGCTCAAAGCCACATATGCCAGACCCATAGTAGTGGCAAAAGTGAATGGTATAGCAAACCACGTAAGTCCACCAGTGATAAATCCCCAGACGCCTTGTCTTGGTTTGGCTGCCACGCTGCTTTGCCAATAAGACTGGTCTACAAAGACTGTGCCAAAGTTACCTGTATAGGAAACAACTTTCTTGAGTACTACAACCACACTATGGCAAATTTTATGATCACGTACTTACTTCCAGTATACTAATTTGGAACTCACCCACCACATTAATTACACCGAACATTAAACCGCCTCTTGACAGGAAAGTTAGATAACTATTATCTTTGTTATCTTCAGGACCAATAGCACAATTGAGTAAATTGTAAACTTTGTCTGGTGTGCCTGGAATAGTAAAAATAACCATCAAGGTGGGATGTAATATCATTATATTCAGTGTTGAGGTCACAGACAAATATATTCAAATAGTCCTGATATAACCATATATCAAAGGACCGTATGATGCATTTTCCAAATTCTACTTGCTATAAAAACCCTTGAACCCTAGTACCACATGTGTGATTGTACGATCTGTGCATGATGTGTGATATGTTGGTATTTCGCTCATAACATTTTCAGTGTGGTTGAGACTGAGGTTTGAGTTCGTACGAAACTACAAGGTCTGACGTGAAGGATTCAGCACGAGTCTAGAGCTGCAATCCCTGTAACTGCAACATATTAACGCGATTTATTCATCATAAAGAGAAGAACATTGAACCTTCTGAGATGTCAGTTAATTGGTAAAGAAGGCTATATAAAAAGTATTGGAAAACAAATGATAGGAAAATGGGCATCTGATGAGACAAGAAAATCAAGTCAAGTAAATGTATGGATAGGAACAGTTGAGGTCATCGGAAAAGTAAATAGATCACTAACACAATGGTTTAGAACACCTAAAAACGGATGGAACAGGCAGACCAAAATTAAAAACTTTGGACATCGGTGATTGTGCGAATTAGTGGTGGCTACAACAGCCCAGTTTGTATCAGGCAGCTGTCAAATAGCTTGCTTATTAAAACTAATTTGATGGATATATTGAACAATCATTGTTTTCCAAGATGCTCATACTAGTACTAATATTAACGTTTCCGATATGGGTCCCACACGTCGTATACAATACATATTTGTTTACACAATCTTTGAATGCTCACTTTCATTTTTCACGCACTGTAAAACCATTTATTTTAACTGGCATATAATATCACTATTGTTTATGTTTTGAGCTGGGCTTTGAGTTCATAACCTCGGCAGGACAACAATGAGTTATATGTTTCAGTTTAGCGAATTTTACCTATCAGCGAAAATAACCATATTAAAAACTAGTGTTTACATTATCACTATTCTTCCATTGTAATACATGTCTTTAAGTGTCTATCGAGATGTATTATATATGTATATTTATATCTGTTTTTTTTATTATTTTCCTGTCAAAATAAGACTGGTAGTGCACTATGCTGAATATCGACTGTTCTGAGGGTAGTGGATACCAAGGAACGTTGTTCACAGAGGTTGTACTGAAGTATTCAAACAGTCAAGACAATTTGACAAAGGAAAACAGAGTCGTTTATTTGAATTACCAATCATTAGCATTCTAGAAGGCATGACTTATAGAAGAGGTCGTTTGTATTAACATACAGCTTTATCAACTAAATCAACTTACCAAGAGGGTTGTCCTCCACATC